GGCCCATGCTGCGGCCACAGCTCTGGACCGCACCTCTGGAAGTTCTCAGGTTGAGATCTGCAATAACGCAAATCTCCTCCCAGAGGGCTGGGTTTGGTGTCCCAGCATCCATTTGCCTCCCCATCTCTTCCATAAGCTCCGCTTGATAAGCAGTGAGGAGAGAGGTGGCATTAAGAGCCCTCACTGCCAGTGCAGAAGAACGATAAATCTTCTGAAAAACTGAGGCTGCTAGGCGATCAGTGCGTCCTGGCAGTGAAGCTGAAGCTGAGGAAAAGGCTGCCCTGCGGTTAGGGTGGAGATGATGTGCAACTGACAGCTCAAAAGGAGGGGAATTTGACATCCCTAACTCCTCCATCTTATCAACATCCAGCCTGGAAAAACCTTTTACAGGAACCCTGTGTGAAAAAGGCTTATCCCAGAAACGTTTCATCTCTGAAACGCACGTGGGGACCGCTGGGATGAGCTGTTTAACTGGTGGCGCACGTGACGGCAGTCTCTTGCAGTGTTGTTTTTGGCAGCCCTTTTAGTTTTAGTCTTAGTCTTTTGGACGAAAATGCTTTTTAGTTTTAGTCACATTTTAGTCACTTAAAAACGTAATAGTTTTAGTCAAGTTTTAGTCGACGAAAACAAAAAAAGGTTTTAGTCAAGTTTTAGTCGCCGAAAACGCAAAAAGGTTTTAATCAAGTTAAGTAAAAAAAAAAAGTCTTTAAAAAATAGAGACAATAAAATGCGGCTGTGTCAAAATTGGTATCGAAGTTCAAAAATAGAAAAGAAATAAAAGTGCCACTTTGCAATCTGTAAAAAAAAAAGAAAAGAATAGAAATCCATTTGGCAAGACAGGTCTATTTATCCCTGCATTAGTGGCTGCAATGAGCCTGTTTTGAATTGCACAATTTCTCAAAAGTCATGTTAAAATGTTCAGCTGAGATGTGTAGTTTGTTTTCAGTGAAACTGAAACAGCTGAAAAGCCCATCTCACAGAGATATGATGTGGCAAAGGGAAGAAGAATGCACACAGCTCTCTGCCTTTAGCCTACTTAAAAACGTGATATATATATATACACACACACATATATATATATATATATATATATATATATATATATATATTTTAAATAGCCTAGATAAAATAGACATAACATACTGTGTTGATATGGGATTAAATGATGGGTAGTGTATGGGCAGTGTGTAAGAAATAAACTAATGATTAATTACTTTAATATTCCTTTGTTCCGATCAGAGCATGTGAGCGAAGAGCGCATTTCTGAATATTCCTCCGCTCGCTCATTCAGCTCAGGGTCGCGCGCTCAACACAGAATGGCCTGCTGGTTCGAGAATATGTGGAATAAGAGCTGCCTCCGACTAAAGTTTTTATTCTAGTCGATTAGTAGTTGTTCATTTAAGCCATAGTGGACAAATCGCCCTTTTATATTAATTTAATTACTTAAATAGGCTATACGGGATATTGAGCGTTATAGCCGCACGACCGCACGCATAAAGCTTGTCACAAAGAACCGGCAAAAGTAATGATTATGAATGTGTAAAAAAATAGCAAGGAGACATTTAATTGTTTATTAATAAACTGGTGGTTTCGGGTTTCGCTGCAAAGATGAATTTGACGATGCGGACTCGGCATGAACGAATAAAGATAAAAAGGCATAAAACGGAAAATTTCCTCCCGTTTGGAGGAGACCTGTCACGCCAGTGGGGCACGCCCCACACCTTGAGAACCGCTGGATTATACTGAAACTGAAAGTATGTCCATAAATCATCTCGTCGTTTCCGAACACCAAGCCCGTTTATTGGCTTCGCCGCCATGGTCCTTCGAAGATGTGTGGTGAGTGACTAGCCGCAGCCGCAGGTGTGTTGTTGTGTGGAATCTGGTGCGCGCGGCATGGGTACCCAAAACAATTATAGGAAGCGGCAGCATTGCTGATACTTTTTTAGCTCAAAACAGACAGATTTCACGCAAAATAGGCAGAAATGACATGCATTGCGAACGTCAGACTTATAGTCATTTTCGTTCCGTCTCGTCTTGTCAACGAAAACTCGAAAACGTCTCGTCATGTTTTAGTCACCTTAGGGCTATTTTTAGCTAGTCATCGTCGCGTTATCGTCATAAAAAAAAAGTGCGTCAACGAAATCATTTCGTTATCGTCATCGTTGACGAAAACAACATTGGTCTCTTGCCGTCATAGAGATCCCTCTCCGTCCCCTGGCCAGTCTGCTGCGACGGCCAGTCTATGGAGAGTTGAGCCGCCGCCCTTCGACAGATTTCCAGTAGGTCGAGCTCCCCCTGAGCTGGGGAGGGTGAACCTTCGCTTAACGCGCTGCCAGGTCGGGAGGGATTCGGCGGGAGGATCGCGTCATCATCATCCTCCTCACCTTCATCCTCCAACAGACGAGCGATGGCCTCGTCGTCATCATCGTCCTCCTCTCTTACATCCGTAAAAGATCCAAAGAGGGGAGGTAGTTGGGGGGAGACTTCGTCCATAAATTCGCCCCAGCTTCATGACGCAGGGAGCTGTTTAGTCTCCTCCGCGGGCGGCGGAGAAAAGCAGGGATCTCCCTTATTAGTGGCCGCGACGCGCACTCTTCTCTCTAGCACCCTTGACGGGAAGAGAGAACAATGCGGACAGCCCTCGGGGTTCACAAGGGCTGCCTGAGCGTGTCTCACCCCCAGGCATGCGATGCACAACGGATGAGGATCCTTGCCCGATATCATTGAACCGCACACACACGGACGTGAAGTTTCTGCTTTCGGTCTGCCGCTTGCAGAACTAGTAGTCGCCATAGCAAATAATAGTAGTCTATCCAAGCTCACCACAACGTGCAACTCAGAAAAATGGGATATATAAGAGAATTCGCCGTAACACGTTAATTCTCTTAGTATACCAGAATCAAATAAAATATCACCGTTACAGTGAAAAAAGACCCGCTAACAAAACAGCTGCGTTCAGCGACGTACCTTGACGGCTCGTCTCAGAACAGTTAAACAACAATTTTGAATACAGGTCCTGCTGAAGTATAGCTTCCAATTTAATCTTCACGGGGAAGAGATCGAGAATGAAGTAGGGACCACCCGGCAGTGGTTTATATTAGGGAGGTGGGACTCCCGCATTACTGTCGTGATTGGTCTGTCAACTGACAGACGTGGTGTGATTGGTGCTTCCAGGATCTGTCACGCCCAGAGGCGTTTCCCATAGTGAGATACCGAGCGAATGTTTGAAAGAGAACTGTTTCAAGTCAATTTAACACGAAGCAATCACATTTGTACCAGAAACCTGATTCAATGGTGTTAAATTAAAATTAATTGTTTAAATAAAGCGTGACGTACAGCAACATGTTTCCAGACAATCGGACACTTTGAGCTCTTACCCTGAGGTCCTGTGATGCGTCTGTTGTTGAACGGATGCGGTGGTTCTTATGTAATGCATTTCTGCATTTTCCACAAACTAGTTCTTGATCTTCAGCGCAGAAGAAAGTAAGAAGTTCTCCATGAAGTCTACAGAACCCCGTCGTCTCTACGGGAAGGTCCTGAGTTGTTTCTTCTCTTATCAAATCACACATGTTTCTCAGCACAATGTTTATGGGTGGATCGAGAATGGGTTTGGAGGACACAATTCTGCAGATGGGACACTCTTGAGTTCCTCGCCGATTCCAGAAGGTTTTCACACAGCCGTTACAGATGCTGTGAGAGCAGGCTAAGAGAACTGGATCTCTGAAGATGTCACAGCAGATAGGGCAGTATAAATCCTCCTCTGTAATGGACAGTCTACAGGCCATTTTGCCACCTAGAGTATATTAAATGTGTCCTAGTTGTCTTTCTCTCACTCTCTGTGTGTCTGGTCCAGCTGTCAGGAGCACAAGAGTGTCTCTCAGCTGTGTTTATATCCCAGGCACATGCAAAGTAGGGCGGAGCTTATAAGAGCAAAGACAGCATTTTAACAGAACCTTCTATTATTTAAAGTGTTTATTTTTTACAGTACATTTTCTACAGCAACACCCTAGAGTGGAATAATTAATTTGAATTATTAATTAGACATTTGAAACTTTATTCATCAAGTAAAAAATTACAATTTCACTTGGTGCTGGTGTAAACATAATAAAAAGACTAAAAGACATGATAAAGTGACAAAATAATACAAAAATTGTTTAAATTTGATTTACACACATTAATATTTATATATGTGGTTACATAATAATGAGTGCAGCAAATGGTTTGAATGGTTGAATTTCTGCAAGTTAGTAAAGCAGTACCATGGATCATAAGTTGGATACAAAACTATCAAAAACAATGTTGGAAGGTGTATATGGTCAATTTCTGTCTTTGCTACATATCTGTATTTTAATATAACGTGTATACTATTATTTATTTATTAATATTTTGAGTTAGATTTTATTTGTATATTTTCAGTTTTCATTTTATCTTAAGTTTTAGTAATTTAGTTTTGTTCATTTGTCATTTTATTTATATATATATATCCATTCTGTTCTTTAGCCTTTGAATTTTAATCTAGTTATGCACTGACTGACCTCTGTGGGAAAGTAGAAAAGAATTTTCTATCAGACTGTTCATCAAGCAGATCTATAGAACTTTTTTTTTCTGTTCTGTGTATTCCCATGTCAAGAATGTGACCAAGACAACATTCTGTAACGTGAATGTTACGTGCTGCTTACTCAAACTCAAAAAAGTATGATTACTGTGTTTGATATTACTGACAGGTAATTTGTCAAAGACAAAGAAGATACTCCAGTAATTGTTTATTGGTTTTGTTTCCTAGTAAGTGTAAAATATAGGTCAAAGTTTACACCTTGCAGGAATTGATACAAACATATTTTTTATAATTAAAACTTGTTTAAAATGACCATCACATCTACATAATAACATTAGATGAATATGCTATTGCTTCATCTTCTAATGTATTATTTTATATCTCAATTTGTATTATTATTATTATTAATAGTAGTTGTAGTAATATCAGTATTTCTTTTTTGCCACTTTTTGGTTGTAGCTATTGTGTTTAGAGTAACCATTAGAATAACGTAGGCTACTTTAAAATTTACAAATAAAAACGAATCAGGCAACTTCAAAGACAGCCTGGTGCTTACCAGGAGCAAAGAAGGCCCTTCATGGGTCCTGGCGTTGCTTAGAAACGCGTTGTTGTCGTGCATGTTCACAGTGAATTTTCTGAAACCAAACCGAGATTTTTCATCACAAATAAGCGATACTTTCTCGTCTATAATCCAGCCATGATTGTGAACAAATTTACGACGAGCCCTAAATATATCCGCCGAAGATTGTAAAACAATATTCTGCCGTAAATATGTATTTAGGGTAGTTAGTTATATAGCTTGGGTAACAAGCTAGCTAATCTGCTAATTAACGTTAGTCAGATAGCCAAAGCAATAACACTGTCGGGTTGTGTTTTGGGAATGTACCATTTCATTTGCGGTTTGTTTTACGAATTATTGCTTGAAAAGATTAACTAAACGATATCCATTGAGTTAGAAAGCGTGTGATGGAGTAAAGCAGTGCTGTGTGGTCAGCTGTCATCTAATCCCGCTGTATTAAGAGGCTCAGAGTTTAAACTCCTGCTGCTGCTTCTCTAGTCTAGCAATGGACGCAGGAGGCATTTCTGATCTGGACCTGGAGAAATATGACGCTGATGAGCAAGTCAAGATCATCTGCCTCGGAGACAGCGCTGTGGGCAAATCCAAGTATGCTCAATGTGGTTCTGACACTAATGGAGTAGCTGTGTTATTGCTTTCATGGTGACAATGAAATTTGAAAAATTTGCATCTTTCATATTAATGGTTTTCATATCTTTTCAGGCTTATGGAGAGATTCCTTATGGATGGATAGTATCCTTTGACATCATTATGTGTGTGTATACAGTATATTATCTACTGTTTGAATGTGTGCATGTGAGTGTGTATCATCCCCAAGATCTGCGTGATCTCTCTCTCTCTGTGTATGTATGTGAGTGTATCGTTCATTCTCAAAGTTGACAGGTTCTTAATGAAATGTATCAGTCGGCCTCAGCAGCTGTCCACCTACGCGTTGACTCTCTACAAATACAGCACAACCATCAATGGACAAACTATACTGGTTGGTAAGTTTGGCATCAAAAACTGTTATTTTAGTATACAAGAATGGAGCAATTTGCTGTATTTTATTTTTTTGCAGTTTTATTATTGAGACATAGCACATTTTTGCACATAATTGACCTTTTTGAGGAAGTTTCATACACTTGTCTTATAAAGAATTAGAGCTGCACGATTCTGGATAAACTAAGGGTTCGTACACAACAATGATGTTCTAAAAACGGAGACACAAAGGGAAAAAAACGGAGACACAAAGGAAAAAGTTAAAAACGGAGACACTTAAAAACGGAGACACAAAACTTAAAAAAAAAAATTAAAACGGAGACACTTAAAAACGGAGACACAAAGCTTAAACTTAAAAACGGAGACACCAAGGAAAAACTTAAAAACGGAGACACTTAAAAACGGAGACACAAAAATTAAAAAAATTAAAAATGGAGACAAAACTTAAAAAACTTAAAAACGGAGACACAAAGGAAAACTTAAAACCGAAGACTCTTAAAAACAGAGACACAAAACTTAAAAAAAACTTAAAAACGGAGACACAAAGGAAAACTTAAAACCGAAGACTCAAAAGAAAACTTAAAAACGGAGACACAAAACTTAAAAAACTTAAAAACGGAGACACTTAAAAACGGAGACACAAAACTTAAAAACAGAGACACTTAAAAACGGAGACACAAAACTTAAAAAACTTAAAAACGGAGACACAAAGGAAAACTTGAAACCGCAGACCCTTAAAAACAGAGACACAAAACTTAAAAAAAAAATTAAAAACGGAGACACAAAGGAAAACTTAAAGGGCACCTATTATGCCCCTTTTTACGCCCCTTTTTACAAGATGTAATATTGGTCTCGGGTGTCCCCAGAATGTATTTGTGAAGTTTCAGCACAAAATACCCCACAGTTAATTTATTATAACCATTTGAAAATGTCATTTTTGGGGCCTGTTTTAAAAAGAGCTGTTTTGGTGTGTACCACCTTAAATGTAAATGAGCTGCATATCCCCGCCTAAACAGTCGGTAGAACCAGAATGGCAGAGAGTGAGAGACCCGCTGTTTTGTATGGCATTCAGCCGTACATGTTTGAACCGGAATCAGACACAGATGATGAAGAGACTCCGGCAGAAGAAACACAAATGAGAATGGACCACGACGTCTCAGAATGGTTATTTGATACATTTATGTACTTATAGAGTTGTAATCGCGTCCCCTTTGCAATTATGGATGTGCAACACACACACAGACACACACAAACTGTGATAACGTTGGCGCAATTTTTTGAAACTACAAACACAAATACTGTAACGTTTGCTACGTACAAACGAAATTACATTTATGCGAGGGACCTGTTGCGTCATGTTTACATTACTTGTCGTACAGGTGCTTATGTGGCAAATGTGAGAAGATGGCTACAGAACATACACAGTTTTTAATACAATATCTTTAAAACAAATATTTATAAACGTGTGGTTACACACTAAACAAACAAGGTTTAAATTATATACACAGACATCCTACGACGACGACAACAACTTTAGATGCATTTGTTGTTGAATTGGCTTACATCGACTGAAATGACTATTTGCTCAAAAATCATAAAATACACTTACTTCTTTTGGAGGTGACGTTGGATCGCGAACAGCAGGCAACGATCCACACTTGAGGATTAACTTTGAAGCAAGACCTGCTTTGAATTGACCCTCGTTCACAAAACAGTCAGTCAGAAAATGATTCGCGCAAACATAAACGTATTTTGGAAGTTTAAGTGGCGCCTTTCCTTAGTAAATAAAATCCATCCACTGCGTTTTCAGTGGCTCTGATGTCGGAAGTAAGTGAAAACTAGCTAGCTACTATGTACATTATTACATCCCACAACAGAACACTTATGTTTCTTAGGAGACATTACCGGCTGTCGTTGAAAGGGCGGGGTCTATGCCAAAACCACAGTGTCAATCAAACCACGTCGGTGGGGCTTGCGCAATTCTACGTCACAAAGCACCGAATCTTAGAACAGCTCGTTCTGAGACAGTGCTTATGATTTATTGAGATTGTAAAAAAAACACTGGGTGGATTTTTATCATTCTAGGGTGGTTTTGCTCACACACTGCCAACACACATTTATGTTCAAACACCATGTAAAAGTGAATTTTGCACAATAGGTGCCCTTTAAAAACGGAGACACAAAGGAAAAAGTTAAAAACGGAGACACTTAAAAACGGAGACACAAAACTTAAAAAAATTAAAAATGGAGACACAAAGGAAAAACTTAAAAACGGAGACACTTAAAAACGGAGACACAAAACTTAAAAAACTTAAAAACGGAGACCCTTAAAAACGGAGACACAAAACTTAAAAAAACTAAAAACGGAGACATAAAGGAAAACTTAAAAACGGAGACACTTAAAAACGGAGACACTTAAAAACGGAGACACAAAACTTAAAAAACTTAAAAACGGAGACACAAAGGAAAACTTAAAACCGAAGACCCTTAAAAATGGAGACACAAAGGAAAAACTTAAAAACGGAGACACAAAACTTAAAAAAATTAAAAACGGAGACACAAAACTTAAAAAACTTAAAAATGGAGACCCTTAAAAATGGAGACACAAAACTTAAACTTAAAAACGGAGACACTTAAAAACGGAGACACAATACTTAAAAAAATTAAAAATGGAGACACAAAGGAAAAACTTAAAAACGGAGACACTTAAAAACGGAGACACAAAACTTAAAAAACTTAAAAACAGAGACCCTTAAAAACGGAGACACAAAACTTAAAAAACCTAAAAACGGAGACATAAAGGAAAACTTAAAAACAGAGACCCTTAAAAACGGAGACACAAAACTTAAAAAACCTAAAAACGGAGACATAAAGGAAAACTTAAAAACGGAGACACTTAAAAACGAAGAAACTTAAAAACGGAGACACTTAAAAACGGAGACACAAAACTTAAAAAACTTAAAAACGGAGACACAAAGGAAAACTTAAAACCGAAGACCCTTAAAAATGGAGACACAAAGGAAAACTTAAAAACGGAGACACAAAGGAAAACTTAAAAACGAAGACACAAAGGAAAAAATTAAAAACGGGGAAACAAAACTTAAAAAACTTAAAAACGGAGACACAAAACTTAAACTTAAAAATGGAGACACAAAATTTAAACTTAAAAACGGAGACACTTAAAAACGGAGACACAAAACTTAAAAAAAATTAAAAACGGAGATACAAAGGAAAAACTTAAAAACGGAGACACAAAGGAAAACTTAAAACCGAAGACCCTTACAAACGGAGACACAAAACTTAAAAAACTTAAAAACAGAGACACTTAAAAACGGAGACACAAAACTTAAAAAACTTAAAAACGGAGACCCTTAAAGTCGGCATGAAATCAAATTTGACAAATCTTCTTATATATTTATATATTTTATATGTAATATTGTAGTGTTTATTATAAATGATTTATCTGTGCACTTCATTATTTTTTTTAATTCATGTACCCTTATAATCTTTAATCAAATACATTACCCTTCCCTCCCCCCTCGAAACGACCTCTCTTCTCTTTCGGTCACGTGTAATGGCGAAAGGGTGCGGCCAGAGCCAATGAGGGTGCGGCTATCGGTGCACGGCCTCTCAGAGAACCTGTCAGTGTCAGTAACGGTGGGGAGTCCGGTGGAGAGAAATCCTCCACAACTGAATGTAAACTGGCATTCAAATCTGCCGAAAGGACGAAATCAAGCCCCGCCCTAAATTTTTTTCTAATTTCAGAAGCCGCTTCACTCGGATATACGTCACAACAAGGAAAAAATTACAATCTCAACTTCTGTTTCATGCCGACTTTAAAAACGGAGACACAAAACTTAAAAAAACTCAAAAACGGAGACACAAAGGAAAACTTAAAAACGGAGACACTTGAAAACGGAGAGACTTAAAAACGGAGACACAAAACTTAAAAACGGAGACACAAAGGAAAACTTAAAACCGAAGACCCTTAAAAACAGAGACACAAAACTTAAAAAACTTAAAAACGGAGACACAAAACTTAAAAAACTTAAAAACGGAGACACAAAACTTAAAAAACTTAAAAACGGAGACACAAAGGAAAACTTAAAACCGAAGACCCTTAAAGGGATACTCCACCGTTTTTTCATATTAAACTATGTTATTCTCTTATCTAAGACGAGTTGATACATACCTCTCTCGTCTCAGTGCGTGCACTGAATCGCTCTGTCGGGCGGAGAACTTTGAGAGCAGTTAGCTTAGCCCCATTCATTGTATATGGGCCAAACAGAGATGAAGTTAGAAGCGACCAAACACATCCACGTTTTCTCTATTTAAATATAGTTACACGACCAAGTATGGTGACACTAAATAAAATGTGGCGCTTTTTATAAGCGGGTAAAATGGATAACTATAATGTATGGCGGAATAGCACTTATTGGGAGCACTTCGACTCGGCGCTGTAATATCTTCACTCGTGAAAAGTCCTCTCCCCCTCTCCCTCTCCCTCCGTCAACTCTGCACAAAAAACTACTAGGCTACTGCAGGCGTGCAGGTCACGTTGGTTCTATTGACGGAAATGACAGGGAGAGGGAGAGGGAGAGGGACAACATTGTTGTTCATCGCGTGAACAACATTGAAGCGCGGGTTTCGGCGCCGAGTCTATTCTGCTCGCGCTCAATTAAAGTGAAAGCATTCTTTTGATGGACAAAATAAATATGATTTGACCCCAAAATGCACAGAATTTGCACGTCTGGTGTGTTTTAACAAGAACTGAAGTAGCCAGGCTATGTCAGAAAAGAAAATTAAGACTCAAAAATATTTATAGAAAATAACTTGTTTTTATTCCCAATCGTTTCCTTGCACATGCTCCACTTGTCCTGTTTAGCCTGGCTGGACATGTGTCAGAGAGAAAAACTGTTTGAGAAATATAACTTGCCATTGATGTACAAGTGATTGCAATAGGTGTGTGTGTGTGTGTGTGTGTGTGTGTGTGTGTGTGTGTGTGTTGAGAAATATATACTGCAAGCGTAGGCTATATTTATTTTATTTTTATTTGTTATTTATATATTATTTTATTGCCATTACCTGTTTAGTTGGATATTGGATGTGAAAAGGAAATGGTTCTTCCATAACACTGCACTTTAGATGTGTGTGGATTTCCCACACCAGGAGTAATTTATATAGTTCTATTTTATAGCGATTATCTGTTAAAAAAATGTTCTATGCAAAATGTTCTATTAAAGAGAAAATAGAAAATAAATATTTGTGTCTGCTGTAAAGTGGTTTAAAAAAAGGAAATCGGAATCGGCTAAAATCGGTATCGGCAGGTCAAACTCAAGAAAAATCGGAAAACGGAATCGGCCTTGAAAATTGTAATCGGTGCATCTCTATAAGATTGTGTTGGTGTTTGAATCGAGATCACGATCTTTTAACGATTAATCATGCAGCTTTATAATACAAGGAGTTTTAGTTTAGTTTTCATGTTAGATGAGCAGTCATGCCTTTGTGTATCCAACCTGAGCACTTATGCACTTGTTTAACTTCACCACAGATTTCTGGGATACTGCAGGGCAAGAACGTTTTCGAAGCATGCACCCATCTTACTACCATAAATCTCATGCCTGTATCATGGTAAGAGAAGAGACGGTCACAAAACTCTCTATTGTTGTTATTCTTATTTATATACTATTATGGTATTTATTAAAGGGGTCCTATTATGCTTTTCCACTTTTTCAACTTTAGTTAGTGTGTAATGTTGCTGTTTGAGAAACATCTGCAATATTACAAAGCTCAAAGTCCACTCCAAAGGGAGATATTTTATTTAACAGAATCCTTTTTTCAAGAACTACAACGAACTTTTGGACTACAACACGATTTCAAAACAGGAAAATTAACCAAATTAGTTTTGTGATCGATTACTGTTTGTATTACCTTAGTTTTCAGACAAATATCATGATTAAATAGTGGATAACATTGTATCTATAATGTATATTAAGAAAATTACAACAACATACCACTCTGAAATGTCCTGTGAAATCCGTGCTTTCAAAGTCTGTGCATTAAATCCGTTCTGCACAATCCTAGTGTTGTTAGTTTACATTGTCTGGGTATGAATCAGGCTTGAATTGGTTTGAAATTGACACCATCCTTAATATGTACATTAGAGAAGAACTCACAGTTATGGAGGGGCGGGACGCTAAGCGCTGCCAATCACAACACACTAGGCCAGCTAACCAATCACAGCACATTTCGTATTTTGGAAAGAGGGGCTTCATCGAAATTAGCGTGTTCGAGCCAGACTGGGGAGAGAGGTGCTGTAATAATGTAAAGTATGTGAAAAAGAATGCATTTTTTGAACAATCAAGTATGAAAACATTCTAGTAGACCCCAAAAACTAAATCAAGACTTCGTTAAGTGGCATAATCGGACCCCTTTAATGTTTTGAATTAGGTTTTATTTTCTATATTTAAAATTTTAGTCATTTTGTTATGATGACCTTTGTCATTTGTTAGTGTCAGAATATTTCTATTTAGGTTTAATGTATGTTTATTTCGGTAACGCTTCCTTTTACAGTCCTGTTACCCATGTACTTACTATGTACTTATTATAGTAATTATAATTACTGGGTAATAACTAGGTAGTAACCCTGAACCTACCCCTAAACCTACCCCTAACCCATGTACTTACCTTATATTAGCCAGTACTTTCTAGGTAAGTACACTGTAAGGACACGTAAGTACTGTACTGTAAAAGGAAGCGTTACCTTTATTTCAGTTTAAATTATTATAGTAATTTAACCTATACTTATTTTATTTCAGTTAGTTGACAAGGCAACAGTTCTCATTTGTTTTTTTAAGGATTAAAAAAAATTGGATATCTTATTTGTATGTTTTCAGCTTGATTTCAACGAAACAAAATAACAACCCTGAAATTACACATGAATCAGCAAAAATAAATCTTTATTCACACACACACACACACACACACACACACACACACACACACACACACACACACACACACACACACACACACACACACACACACACACACACACACACACACACACACACGCACACACACACACACACACACGCACACACACACACACACACACACACACACACACACACACACACACACACACACACACACACACACACACACACACACACACACACACACACACACAGAGTATATTAGTGAGTGAAAAATAAGTTGTGGCTTTTTGTAACTGAAAACTATTTTGAATGCTTTTCATTAACAGTAGATCTCAAAAAAGCTTTCACAAATAATCCAATTGCTTTTGCCAGGTGTTTGATGTCCAGAGGAAAATCACATATAAGAACCTCCCAAATTGGTACAAAGAACTCCGAGAGTACCGGCCTGAGATTCCATGTCTGGTAGTCGCTAACAAGATAGATGGTACATTTCATATGTCCTTTGTGAGATTACAGATAAGAGCATTATTAGTCAGAGTTTGTCTTTGCATGTCTCTAATCTTTTGCTCTTTTATGTGTTCTGCTGTTTCAAAGCTGACATGAAGGTGACCCAGAAGAGTTTCAACTTTGCTAAGAAACAAGGTCTTCCCTTCTACTTTGTATCTGCTGCTGATGGGACCAATGTGGTGAAGGTAAGAATGGAAAACAGAGCATCCTAGACAGACAGATCAACAGTTATCAGGGGAGCATTCAGTAAATAAAGCTGCTATAGCATACTGAACTCTCAGAATTTTAAAAGTAGATGCCACAGTCCCTATTGTTTTGCTGGGATGAAATTGTATGCATCTTATAATAGAAATTATTAACCCTACATTTGAAATTTTGCTGTAATTTTCATATAAACTAAAAAACAGCCAGTGGAACATAAAAACACTGAGTGCACCTTTACATTTAATTTAAATTGATAATACATGTAGTTTTAAAAAGAATAAGCACTTAATTGTATAATTTTTGACTTGCAGATCCATTTGTGGAATAATTTTATTTAGCTATGTGCCTTTTTACACCTGGTCACTTCATGCGTTTTGTGCTTTCTAATTTGTTAAAACGGTTCCATTACACTTGGCCACATAAATGTGTCTCCGCAAAACAAATATAAATCCGTTCTTCAATTCCCGTGCTAAATGCAAATTTAACAGAGTTCAAGTCAACATAAGCAACAGATATGAGCTGCATTTTATTTTTCATCAGCTAATATCAAGATCAAAGACCACAATAGGAGAGAGAGTGGCATAAGCACTGGTAAGATAATTAAGTCTCACTACTTTTAATGAAGATGATTGTGTGTTGAGTGTCTGGGACTTACTTTCGGTTTTATTTGTGGCAGTTTGCGGCGCGTTGGCTTGCTGAAGAGATACTCCGCTACTCATCTGCGGTGATGCGTGTTGCTGTAGTGTTGTCATATCTGGCTATAGAATGTCATATAGCCTATAACATGCTCTCACACATTTATTATTTAACATTTCGGTTATTTTTCAAAGTTTACATACTGTATGTGATTTCAAAAACCAGATGCATTTACACTTGTCCAGTTTAGTGATTTGAGTGATCGGATTTAAATCCGTCTTGAAAGCGTTTTGGAGGGCATTTACACCTGGCTTTTGCTCGTTCGGACAGCTATCTGATCAGAGAAAACACATGAAGTGACCAGGTGTAAAAGGCCCTATGTGTTCTAGGGTTAAAAGGAAGTCCTTGGTCCTGCTGTGTGAAGTTCTAATGTTCTGGGAATGTTTCACAGGTGTTTAAAGATGCCATTCAGATGGCTCTGTCCTACAAGAAGAACTCCAACGACTTTATGGATGAAGTTATGAGGGAGTTAGAGGTGTGTGTGTGTGTTTGAAGGTGCTCTTGGTGTGCTCTTCATGATGATGCAATTTACTGATTATATTCATGTTATTTTGCAGAACTTTGATTTAGAGAGTAAAGAAGAAACATCTGATAAAGAAGAGGATACTCAAGAGGGAAAACCAGACTCCGCGTGACCACGTCAGATTCTTCATCCTCTTCTTTTCTCATTCTCCGCTGCTTCTGGAGTTGTACTGATGAGTTCCTTAAATCATGGCTGTCCTCTCACTGTCCTGAGCATCAGAGAGAACTCTACCTCACACCACTGATAGTGTGTGTCTTCTTGAACCTCTAACAGAAATAAATTATGATTCTGTGAATGTACAGGTGGCATTATCTGATGATCAACACCAATAGTTCTGAACTGCTGAACTAATTTGATACAAATTGTGCAGCATCCAGATTTAGCAAAACACCTTTTAGTAATCTACATAGACTTTTTATGGAATGTGAAGCTTTGTCTGTGCCGAATGTAATATAAACATATACATTGCTTGTTATTTTTTTTTCAGCTGGAATATATATATATATATATAGTCCTTGAATTTTTCAGCTGAAATTTTAGGGGAAATATTTATAATCTTTTTTTTAAGTGTAATATTTTACAACAAAAGCACACTTTGTGTAACAACATATTATGTGATGCTCATCCGTATAAATAAAGTAGTTGATCTTTGAATAAGGGTAGCTGATTATACAAGATGAAGTATTTAATAATTACATGCAGTTTTAACTGCAGTTTTTAGGTTTCATCATGTAAAACTAGTACACTTAAATCTGCAGGACTGTTTGAACTGCAAAAAGTTAAGGGATTTAAATTGTGAAAATGTCAAAATGGCTATCAGTTACACACCTGAAATATACTCATTCCCCTATACATTTATATTTTTTAACCTAAAATTTTGATGGAAAAAAGTTTATATCCATTTTATTTGTCAACTAAAGAGTTATATATATATATATTAAAGAGATTTGTTGCAAGCGTATCTGAGAGCAGGATAAAATCTTTTTGGGAATTAATGAGAAGACAGCCATGATGAAAACTCAAGCATATGAATGTGTTTGTGTGGATGTGACAGTCAGGGCAAAGAAGAGAGCTGAGACTGCTCTGAATGCTCACTGACGTTTACACACTGTCAAGTTACAGTCAATCGCTATTGACTTTTGTTTTAGAATGAGGATGAATGGCAGATTACAGCACAAATTCCCTTCGCCAGCGAGTTTGGCTGACAGGCAATCTGACCAATCATAACGCCGAATCCACCACTTTGTCAGACAAACAAACCAGACAGAGTTAGTAGATTAACATCGGTGAACTTGAATTTAAACAATTGTGTGTATTGACATCTTTCCGTGGTTGAAACAACATACGCCTTCTGATGTTCATTCATGTTTATTTCATGCTATAACTAATAGGAAGAGATTTTTGGTTCATGTGCCACTTGAACTGAGGCGCTACAGCGATCTGTCACAATACAAAGAGCCACAACACCGGTATTTATTGTTTGAATAAAAAAAAAAGACAATTTGAAAGCTGAGACTTTGTTTCATAAAACGTCTGCCGGCGCATTGTCAGTGTCCTCTTTGCCCTGCGATATATTTCTCAAGTAAAGCATTTGATGTTGACTGGTACTCTTTTATACGTTAATGACATTAATTAGTTGACGTTCACAAGACAATTAGCTGAAAAAATTCAGCTAATCAAAAATGTATACGTTTTACATTTGGAAGAGAGGTGTGCGCACGGTTTAGGTGCGTACGTTTGAACTCTGAATCACACGTACGCACAAATGTAGGGCGGTTTCTACGCAACATTTTACAAGTGAGGCCCAGGGTCTTTGTGAAGGTTCAAATTGGGCATCTCAAAGAGGGTGAAATGGACATGCAGGGCAAGTATAAAGCATTCATGTGTCATGTCCACATGCAGCTGTTTGATAGTCTGTCCAACAAGACTATAGGTAGTTCCGGAGTCAATCTGTCAATTATGTCTGTCATGTTCAGGGCCTAAAACTAGCTTTTTGCCACAAATGATGGCCATGAAATTGTTTTACTGTTTACTAGGATCATTTTTTGTGAATTTGTCTGTTTAAGCACAAGACGACATGAAAGAGAGCTCAATTCAGTATTTTCGCACTGTCTGAGACGAAGCTTTCTGTGGTCGCGTTTTTGATGTGCACACAAAACTTCTCACTGCGCAAGTAAGTTCCCTAGCGCTTGAATATTTAAATTGGCAAGGCTTAAACTTTCGTGACGATGCAGCTCTGACCCGTCAACTGTCCGGAGAAACGTAGTTCACGTTTACGTTTGTTCACGTTTATGTTCTCGCAACACTGCATGGTTAGAATTCATACAAATTTTACCAACTGGCGATTGACTGTTTCAAATACTCACCAACGCCGATTGTTACTTGAATTTGGCGCTTGTTAATTTTAAGCCCTGGTCATGTTGCAACTTGCAACCAAATCAAAACACACCATCCATCTCCACTTTGATTACTGATTGTAAATTATTTCAATTTTAAATAATTTGTAATAATAGTAGTACATTCTCTACTAGCAATTTATGCTGATTTTAAAACAAAAATTGTACTTGGACATAATGTTTGTCATTACTGTGTTGTAGTTATTTTCCCACCTTACAGTGAGTGGGGATGCTTCAAAAAAGAAAAAGTCCCAAGAATAGATCGATTTCGTCAATTCTTTTCATTCTTTTATGACCCATATGTTTCTTCATGCGTTTCCTCCTCAGATATTAGAAATAATAATTGTTATTGTGGAGCAGTTATTCTTATTGCACAAACTGTGAAGGAATTTTTAGATTATTGCTTTTGGTTTGTGTATTTTTGTGATGTTTTCTCAAATGCTTTATACATCAAATATACATCCATGTTGGTGAATAAAAATAGATCCAGCCTTGTACTGCACATCTGAACTGGATACAACCTGTATATCATTAGAAAAAAAAAACTTATTTCTGAAGACTCAGGTGTTTTTGATAAGTACTCTCATTTTCTTCTGTGAGCAGAATGTAGTTCAAATGAAAAATAAAAACAAGCAAGATCTTAAATGTCATCATTCAGCAATTAACTATTAGCACTTTCACTTGAATCAATCACTTGACATTATGGCATCTAGCATCTAACATAAAATGGTCAATGCATGAAAAGTAAATGGTTTTAATATCAAACATCAACCATTCCAAGACTTACCAAATTACTGTAAAATTATCTTATTGTAAGAAAAACAAAAATGTCTAACAATACACAATCGTAAGATCAAATATTTTCCTTTAGTTTATGGGAAAGTCAGAATGCAATGCTGTTGCCCATTCTGGTGATTTAATTTTTTTATTTTAAACATTTAATTTTTAAATGTAATGTTCATGCATGGCTAGAAAATCACCCAAACCAGAGCTGGTAACAAGGCCAAAATCTATAGATATTAATATCATATGAGAACATATTGTAAATATTTAGCACCTTTCACTCGATTGATTAAAAAAAGAAGACGACCTTTTTAGAGTTTCAAACCTTCTTTTTCACATCTTAGGGGAAAGTGTATCTTTCTCTCTGGGCCTCATTTATAAAACGTGCATATGTACAGATTTTAACTTTGCGTATGCTAAAATTTACGCCAACGGTTATATTGATAAAAACAGTCTTTGAGGTGAAAAAGTTTTTAGCACCACGTCAGGTTGTAAGCAGATGTTTTTCTTGTGGCTGAGAGTGGGAGTACTGCAGGTATTTGGAAATCATCTTGGGTTACTCAACGTTATCATGGTTCCCTGAGAGGAGAGAATGAGGCATTATGTAATAGCTTATGCTTTGGGGAAACTCCTTTCTCCAAAATTTCTGAAGCCTGATTGAATCAAGCTATTGCACTTGCAATAGCCAAAGGGGCTCTGCCTCAAGCGCTCACATGGTGGGCGGGCTGGGCGAGAATTACTCATGGACCCTGAGGAGGTTTTACAACTAGCTGGCAGAGTGCCAAACTAGCAATGGCACCTTCAGCACCGCCCTGCACACAATCAAGCAACGCTGGACTAATGTGGCACAGTGATAATAATGTAGCAACAAGTATATTGGTACAACATTAAACCACCTCAAACAGACATTCACAGCGTCCAGCATAAAACTGCGGGATGAGCCAAGTTCACAAGCTTAATAATAGGGCAGACAGCTAACAGTCAGCTGGAGCCCCCGGATTCTACTGAAAATACGTTGAACACAGAAGGTTGTGCTATGAATGGATTAGTCTTGCATACACAGTAGCTATTAGTGTGAGCAATGGCACAGCACATCAGTCTATACAACCTAGTTGAAACACGAACTAGAGAGGGGCGTGGCCACAAAGTCTCTCAGTCATCCAATGGCTGCTCAGCCGTCTTCCCCTGCACAGACAGAACATGTGATGCGAAAGAGGGAATTTCCAGGTTATAAAACCTAGCGGAAGTGTTTTGCAAAGACCAACCCCCCGCAAAACAAATGTCCTGAATAGACATGCCTTTAGTCCAAGCCTACAACGACGCCAAGAGTGGGGTGGGCACATACCGCTATTGGGCAGTCAACTCCTCGGTAGGCATAAGCCAGGCAAATGGCTTCCACCATCCAGTGCGACAGTTTCTGATTTAACGCTGGCCTTTCTTAGCGCCTCCAAGACAAACAGCTGCTTGGAGATGCAGAACTGGGTGGTTTTATCCACATAAGCACACAATGCACAAATAGGGCACAGGGCACACCTCGGAGACACCTCATCAGAGGTTGGGTCGGAGGAATGAAACGCTTGCAGCGTTATAACCTGGGCTCAGAACGGTATCGAGAGCACTTTAGATATATAACCATGTCTAGGCTCAAGCCTCATCATACAATCGTTTGGTCCAAACTGCATACGAGCACTGTTGACAGAGAGAGCTTGCAAATACCCCACTAGCTTCCCACATGATAAAGCAAGCAGTAGCATCGTCTTGAATGAGAGCACTAATGATAAGTCCCATACTGGCATTAGACGAGGCCAGGGAGGATTCATTTTTTTTTTCGCGCCCTGAAGAAAGCTTGTTATTAGGCTGTGTTAACCCACTGAGCAACCCTCAAAAGTGCCCTTAGCCTGAGACAAAAGGTCCCTTCTCAATGGGATCTGCTACAGAGGGGTTATCGACAGATTCACCAGCTCAGGAACCCAGGGCTGGTTGGGCCATCTCAGCGCTATCAGCAAAAGAGGGCCCCTCTCTTCCCTG